CAATGTCCCTCGCCGTCTCCGCATACGATTTTCCTGGCAACCGGGTACATTCTCTAAACCTCTTTCTGTAACACTCTGGCGTGAGCTTAAAGGAACGGAGCACAGCTCGTTTTACCGCATCGTAGTTAGTGCATTCTTGGAAGTCGAGCATGGTGAAGGCTTGGCGAGCTTCCCCTGTGAGCCTTCCTTGGACCAACTCCGCCCACTCCGCCCTCGGCCACCTCTTCATAGCAGCAACTCTCTCAAAGTGATCGAAGAAACTTTCGGCTTCACTAGGCACAAAGACCGGCAGGTCTCGTTCCCTCACTCGTCGGTCTTCCTGTGGCGGGGCAGGGGCACCTAGTCCCAGTTCAGCTCGCTTCAGCTCCACCTCCTGGTTGGCTTCTATTTCCATTTGTCTCAGCCTAACTTCTTGCTCTCGTTCTTCCCGGCGTAGCTGTGCTTCTCGTTCTTGCTCTTCCCGGCGCAGCTGTGCTTCTCGCTCTCCTCACGCTTCGTCTGTGCTTCTCGCTCCTGTTCTTCCCGGCGCAGCTGTGCTTCTCGCTCCTGTTCTTCCCGGCGCAGCTGTGCTTCTCGTTCCTCACGCTTCGTCTGTGCTTCTCGCTCCTGTTCTTCCCGGCGCAGCTGTGCTTCTCGCTCCTGTTCTTCCCGGCGCAGCTGTGCTTCTCGCTCCTGTTCTTCCCGGCGCAGCTGTGCTTCTCGCTCCTCACGCTTCATCTGTGCTTCTCGCTCTTCTTTGCGTTGCTGTGCCTCTTCTCTCCTCAGCTGCGCTTCTGCTTCTCGCTCTTCTTTGCGCTGCTGTGCTTCTCGCTCTTCTTTGCGCTGTTGTGCCTCTAGCTGCAGCTTCATTATTTCCAGCTTAATGCTGTGCCTGCTGCCGCTGGATCCCCTGCTGCTTCCACCAATACTCAGGCGCTCACCCTCACTGGCAGGTGTTTGGGGCCGTTCCTCCCCCAAAGCTTCGTCTCGAGCCTTTAGCTGAGCCATTATCTCTAGTCTTCTTTCACCAACTCGGGCAGATTTCAGCTTTATTCCAAAATGATCCGCTATAGCCTGTAACTGTGCCTTGGTGCACTCTTCCAGCACCTGTTCGTCTCTAGAGTCAATAAACCTCGCTACTTTATCATCCTCCATCTTGTGCTACGAGTGATAACCTTCACCTGATCTCTAACACCACTGCCAAGTACCACTGCAACCTTTACTCCGATCTATATCCTGGCAAGGTCGCCAATGTTGGGGTTTTCACCTCTCTATTATTCTCTACCCTTACTCTGGGGTGAGCAATAGTTATGCTCAAGGTAACTCACCGTAGCCCTGCGGGTCTTCCCTCGATCCTCACGGCGCCACTGCACGCCAGGAGAGTCTCCCAGTCAATCTTAACGGCCTCTTATTAAGAAAGAGTGAGAACACGACTCGTTCACCTCGACTGTCGTGTGCCCTCCCCAACAATAGGGCTCTACGGTTAAACACAAGATCGCCAACTGGTGTTTAAGGTGGCCAGTAACACCCTCAGTGGACTGGTGTATTCAGTGGTAGCCTTGGCAAGGTCACACTCAAAGATCAGGAATCAGGCAGGTACTTATTGTTATCACTCTATGCTTACAGGTATAGTATAGCCACAAGATCAATGGAGGGGATGATAAAAACACTAAGATAGTTTTGTATTTTACTTAAAATGTATGAAAGATGTCACAAGGCCACACAATAATCTATAAATCAACTGATCCTGACTCGGCCGGTAATTCCCACGGATATTATGCGATCACAAGAGGGCAACACTCTCCCCCTCCTCATCAAGTGTCAAAAACCCAGCTGATCGCGTGGCCTCTCCGCGCGAACTTTGCTTGTTTTCTAGATTCGCTGTTTCGTTAAATTCTCCAATATTACTAGAAACTCGCACACTCGATATTGGCACAAATAAACCGAATTACTTAGTTACACTGTACTCAGGCTCAAACAGTCTTTTCTACAATCAATTCTACAATGATTCACTGTAATGGTCTTACACTGTTATTTATCCAACAATATATTATGAAATATTAACACGGGAGTTTTCAGTACTTTCTCTCGTGGGCGATAACGCAATAATTCACTGTACTCACAAATGATTATTCACTGAATGAACATAGACATATATATGGTATATAAATCAATCATCAATACATGGAAAATAAATAGTTTCTGGGCACATAGCCTAACCTCCAAATACTGGCATAATCTTATATATAATTTACCACTATATGTTCATATCAAAATCTATAGAAAGATATACACAACACAGTAAATTTATCACTGGTTCCTGGTGCCTGTACACACCAATAATCAACATGAATATTACAAGTACTCTTGATAGTACTGTCTAGCACACTGGTGCTTTACCGTGACATAGGTGAGACTTGCTCACGACATATAAAATCTTCAGGCTAGATAATATAGCCAAATAATATAGCTAACTAAAGGGGAATGGGGAGGGAACTAGAACCACCTACTTCACCCTATCCTCCGATGAGAGTCGAGATGTAGCTCCTGGTCCTCGTGTCGGGAACGCCCCCACACTACACGTCGTCGTGTCCTACCAGAGCCTCTCGTCGTCCCACCGTTTAGCGCGTCGTCTCCGTGCCTCCTCACTGCAGGTCCGTCCTCCTCCTTGACTTCTTGAAGGTTGGAGTCGGTCTCCTGGCCGTCGTCTTCTCCCAGCAACGGCTGTCGCCTACGTCTCAGCTACAGTCGTTCGGTTTCCCCAAATAGTCCTCTCTTCCTCAGCTACCCAGTGGCTCTGTCAGCCACTACGCTGTCACGAACTGGTGAATTGCCACAGACGTCAACATACGTCACTGCACGGCTTCACTGCTACTGGCACAGTACCTGACTGGAGCACTTGTTGCTCAAATAACCGTCAATTCCCTCTTCTGGTTCAACACATGAACTAGGGAAGACTTCTCAGAGTACTGGCGAACTTCCGATGACGCGTAAATCCACGGTAGTGGGAAACAGCTGTCCGACAGACAGGACCACTCGTCGCACGTCCGACCTCTATGACGTGTCGTGTATGACTGCTGGCGCCAGCCCGGCGCGCTGGCCGGACCCCCTTCCTTCGTGACGTCACTTTTGCTACGGGAAGTTTTCATTGGCTCCCGGTGCCACATTGCTGTCGGTGACCAATCCGGTGCCACTGACGTCACACGGTTTTGGCGGGAGATCAGAGAGGCCAGCGCCATCTTGGCTCCCTAAAGGGCCTAAACCACAGGCCAAAATATTACTATTTCACAAATTTCTCGGCTCTCCGAGAACACTTCACTCTCTCCCATATATCAAATTGTAGCCTGCAACGTAGAGAACGCTTGGGAAAAGTAGACATGACTCTTACTGCAGGCGTGGGAGAATTATAAGGGGGGGAACTCCGTCACAACATTCATTTTCCTCCGTGGTCTGACATTGTCATATATATATATATATATATATATATATATATATATATATATATATATATATATATATATATATATATATATATATATATATATATATATATATATATACATATATATATATATATATATATATATATATATATATATATATATATATATATATATATATATATATATATATATATATATATATATATATATATATATATATATATATATATATATATATATGTACTACCCGACCTTGGGCAGATATCTAGCTCATATATATTTTGAAGATTAGTCTTCTACCATATTTCCTCTGTAATTGTACTGATGTAATTGCCATGCTGTTCATGGCTTTATACATATGATTAATAAGGAAGAGAAATCTTCCTAACAATTGCCTTTCTTTGATAACGGACACACTGATAATGTAGAAGGTAACGTAATTATCTCGAGAAAGACATAAACCAGTTCCTCTGTATTGCACTTAACATGACGAAAGGTATATAATATGAGGATGGAGTGAAGGAACGGTGCCCAATCAATATAGGAACATCGGGGATCGAATCTAGACTTGCAAGAAGAGAGGCAATCGCTGTACCAATATATCCAAGAACGGAGCAATTTGCCACCGTTTCTCAACGCAAAATTCGTGATGACAAGTCAATATTAATTTTCTGGAATGTTTACAAAAAATAATTTACTCCATCAAATTTTACCAGGAATATGTGACCAGAATTGTGTGGGAGAGAGTAGTCTTGCTTGTGTGGGAGAGAGTAGTCTTGCTTGTGTGGGAGAGAGTAGTCTTGTTTGTGTGGGAGACAGAGTAGTCTTGCTTGTGTGGGAGAGAGTAGTCTTGTTTGTGTGGGAGAGAGAGTAGTCTTGCTTGTGTGGGAGAGAGAGTAGTCTTGTATGTGTGGGAGAGAGAGTAGTCTTGCTTGTGTGGGAGAGAGAGTAGTCTTGCTTGTGTGGGAGAGAGAATAGTCTTGTTTTTGTGGGAGAGAGAGTAGTCTTGTTTGTGTGGGAGAGATAGAGAGAGAGTAGTCTTACTTGTGTGTGAGAGAGAGAGGAACTTGATCTCCCACACGTGGTCACACTGGTAGACAAGAGAGATAATAATAAATTTATTATCGTTGTAACCTCTCAAGGTTATCAAAACTCCACTTTTTATTTTGTTTTAGTAAGCAACAAGGTTTCCTTTAGACGGTAAACACGGGGTTTATCAGAAGGTTAGAACAATACAGTTTTCTTGGACAGTTAAGACAACAGGTTTCTTAAAACGGTCAAAACAACAAGGTATACCCGTCCGTTTGAGGGAACAAGGTTCTCTGGACAGTTATGACAGTAGAGTTTGCTTGGTCGGTAAAAACGACAGGGTTTAAAAGGAACCCCTTCACTCAGCCACTATAACCAGTCCCTTCACTGAACCACCACAACCAGTCTCTTCAGTGAGCCATCACAACCAGCCCCTTCACTGACGCATGACACACACAGACAGACATTCAGCCGTCTACGAGACCCACTGACCACTACGGTTCACATCTGGCCGCGGGGTAATGTTGGTGGCTGACTGGACCATCTGACCTGGATATGAGCAATACCACACGGACCTGAAACCGAATTCCATACATGGACTGAACTCTCCGGACTCTCCGGATGTGGAGCAGACATGATCCGGACTCTCCGGATGTGGAGCAGACATGATCCGGACTCTCCGGATGTGGAGCAGACATGATCCGGACTCTCCGGATTTACACCACTTTCCCCGGACCTAAACCAATCACCACGAGCATGACCTAGCAAACACACACATCGTAACTATACAACGTTTTAGCAAAATCATTTATTTTACATTGTAAAAAAATATGTAAAATTGCAGATGATTGTTTGTGGGGGGAAACGGACCAGACTTCTCTAACGTGGACCAGGCTGCCCGAACCTGGACCAGACCAGACCAGACCAACACGCCACACGAACCCAATCCCTCAATAACAAAAAAGTTTTGATCAAAGTCAGAAACGATAACAGCGTGAGGGGGAAATCCATTACACGTCTCAGTGCCTCGCTAAAGGCGTGTCTGAGTACTACACAAGAGTACCATTAGGCCAGACGCGGACAGATTAAACAATTACACAATGGTACAAAACAGCCCAATTCACTATTGCGCCCGCATTGTGTTTCATATTGGTAAGAGAATAACAAAATATGGTCCTCGGGTACATTATGGCCTTCAGTTTTGGGCCCCCTGCTATAGAATGGTCTTATAGATTCCTGCGGTTATGAGCTGAGATAGTTGACATAGTTAATCTTGGGCATTAGCAGCATCCCTGGCGAGAATAGATTGATAATACCCAATGCAAAAAGGTCAAGAAAAACGAAGGGAAGACATGATTGCAGTATGCAAATGAAGGGAACTATCAGGGGTGAAAGCGCCAGGCCATTACGACTATATAGCACTTGGATGGGGTCAGGATAAGGATTTGGGATGGGACGAGGGAGGGGGGGGGGTTGAAGGAATGGTGCCCAACCATTTGGACGGTCGGAGATTGAGCGCCGACCTGCATGAAGCGAGACCGTCGCTCTACCATCAAGCCCAAGCGGTTGGTGACTATGCAAATGAAAGTGTATAACAGAAGGAAAATTATTAGGTGCTATCTATATCTATATAAGAAGGTCTATCCGTCTGTCTGTCTGTCTGTCTGTGTGTCTGTCTGTCTGTCTGTCTGTCTGTCTGTCTGTCTGTATGATGTGTATTCACCCTAGCCTGGACCCACTGTCCAGTCGGTAATAGGCTATTAGGTCTCAGGTAACCAGTACCTAGTACCTAATACATTTTCTGAGAGAAGGAGCAAAGAGGGCAGAAGAAGGATGAAGGAAGAGAGAGGGAGGATTTGAGAAAAAGGGGAAAGCTTTACTAGTGGAAGCTGTCTCATACAGGCCCAAAAGATCTTCTATAGTTCTCTCTATAAACTGGTTTTCTTCACATATTTGTAAATTAATAGCGTTGGGTAGATATACTTATGTCTTATCAGATTAGATCATCGATGAATGTATAACGCCCAGATGTTCAAGAACACAAGATCCTATATATATATATATTTGTTTTTTGGTGCATTTTATGATTTTTTTATGATATGATTTACGTGGCTTTCATGATGATTTGATCGTGGCCACATTGTACACAATAGCGTTCTCAGCCCAACGGGAAGATTTCCGTATTTTTGAACACAAGATTTCTTGATTGACTGTGGGACGCTTCCCTCACTGGTGATGGACCGTACGACTCTCAGTGATGACTTCAGGGGTCATTAGACTCTTAATCATTACTTCAGGGACCATTGGACTTTTAATCATCACTTCATGGACCATTAAACTCTTAATCATTATTTCAGGGACCATTAGAATCTTGTATATAATTTGTGTATTGATGCAGTTTATCTTCCATGACCTCGTGAGTGAATATAAGAACACTGTAAACAATACACAGGAACCTGGTACGTGTATGAGTATATACACTGAGGCAATGTAATGGGATCGACCATGAGATCCTGGCCTTGCCCCAGACCAACGACCACTCTCAGGTGTAGTCTGGTAGTTATTCTGGTTGAAATACCTTTAGGCTCATCATGGTTTTCTCGGTTATGCATGTGCCTGGGGTGTCCCGTGGGATCGAACACCGGTCTTGCATGAAGTGAGGTCGTCGCTGAACCTACTCGCCAGAGTGGACGAGGACCTTTTATGAAGTAATTAATTAATATATCAATCGAACTATTTTATTTGTTCTGGGAATCGAACGAGTCTCTATGCCTTGGTGAATAGAAATTCCACCGTCCACCAGTTGAGGAAGTATCAATCTCCTGGGAGGAGACGGTGGTCAAGATTGAGACGCCGCGCCTTCCTGTTCTCTGATAAGGGATTTGCCTCGCCAACTTTGTCCTTATCTTACAGTCTCCACCATTCTCTCGCCGTCTAAGATACCACTGACTTCACATTATTCTTCGTGTGTGAGTGTGAGTTTGTGTGTGTGTGTGTGTGTGTGTGTGTGTGTGTGTGTGTGTGTGTGTGTGTGTGTGTGTGTGTGTGTGTGTGTGTGTGTGTGTGTGTGTGTGTGTGTGTGTGTGTGTGTGTTGTGTGTGTGTGTGTGTGTGTGTGTGTGTACTCACCTAGTTGTGTCTGCAGGATCGAGCATTGACTCTTGGATCCCGCCTTTCGAGCATCGGTTGTTTACAGCAATGACTCCTGTCCCATTTCCCTATCATACCTGGTTTTAAAATTATGAATAGTATTTGCTTCCACAACCTGTTCCTGAAGTGCATTCCATTTTCCCACTACTCTCACGCTAAAAGAAAACTTCCTAACATCTCTGTGACTCATCTGAGTTTCAAGCTTCCATCCATGTCCCCTCGTTCTGTTACTATTCCGTGTGAACATTTCGTCTATGTCCACTCTGTCAATCCCTCTGAGTATTTTATACGTTCCTATCATGTTCCCCCTCTCCCTTCTTCTTTCTAGTGTCGTAAGGCACAGTTCCCTCAGGCGCTCCTCATACCCCATCCCTCGTAGCTCTGGGACGAGTCTCGTTGCAAACCTCTGAACCTTTTCCAGTTTCATTATATGCTTCTTCAGATGGGAACTCCATGATGAGGCGGCATACTCTAAGACTGGCCTTACGTAGGCAGTGTAAAGCGCCCTAAATGCCTCCTTACTTAGGTTTCTGAATGATGTTCTAACTTTTGCCAGTGTAGAGTACGCTGCTGTCGTTATCCTATTTATATGTGCCTCAGGAGATAGATTAGGTGTCACGTCCACCCCCAGGTCTCTTTCACGCGTCGTTACAGGTAGGCTGTTCCCCGTCATTGTGTACTGTCCCTTTGGTCTCCTATCTTCTAGTCCCATTTCCATAACTTTACATTTGTTCGTGTGTGTGTGTGTGTGTGTGTGTGTGTGTGTGTGTGTGTGTGTGTGTGTGTGTGTGTGTGTGTGTGTGTGTGTGTGTGTGTGTACTCAACTATTTGTGCTTGCGGGGGTTGAGTTTCTGCTCTTGTATCTGGACTTTCATGAGTGCTGTGGATACTGTGATATCTTCATTTGAATTAAAGTGTGAAGTATACCTGTGCCACTTCACTCCTACATTCATTCCATTTATTTACAAAGGTGACACTGCGGAAGATCTTTGTGAGCGCACCTTCCTCGGGAACTTATTTTGAACATGTGTTGTCTCACTAGTGAAACATTTGAGGTAAATTAAAGACATTCTGTACTCAAACCTTCAGATTCGCCCATCCATTTGCACTGGTGGTTAAAACGTAGGACGTGTATCTGACAGGGTGGTAGTTCCATCCCCGATGGTTGAAGTAGTTGGGCACTATTCCTTCATCCCGATCTCATATTCCACCTCCTTGTTCTCGTGTCCCTTTCAAGAGGAATATGATCAGACTGGTTATATTAGAGCTACATCCTGATAATTACCTCACCTGAGGTTTACAGCATCCAATGGAATCATTCGTCTGTGGCTCTAAATATTAATTCATTTAGATCTACTAAACTGCCTTTATAAACACATTTCCTGTGCACTATGAAATCACATTTACGTATGACAAAATCTTCTGAGCATGACTGTGGGCTCGAACATGCGCCGGAATGCTTGAGGGCTACATGTGCAATTTCGACTGGTTACCATTTCCGTGTCTCTAAATTCCTAATGAGGTTTGTTGGTCTCCAGGTTGTGTAGATCTCAGGCATATCGTCGTGCAGGGGTTAAGTCGCGCGTCTGGGGTGACTCTGGATGCTGGTTCGATGCTCCAACGATTTTCTAATCTTCTGTATCTTCCCTGTTGTTTATATCATCTCACTCATGTGTGTCTGCTCTCTACCTAGGGTGTCTGCTCTCTACCTGTGGTGTCTGCTCTCTATCTGTGGTGTCTGCTCTCTACCTGTGGTGTCTGCTCTCTACCTGTGGTGTCTGCTCTCTACCTGTGGTGTCTGCTCTCTACCTGTCGCAGGTATTCAAGTTGTTTTCTGAACATCTTCTGAGTGTATTTAGTACCTTGAGCATTTCAGTTTCCGCTTAACTACCTCATCGATGACCTAATCTAAATACTTAAAAGTTCAAAGACGCTCTCCTTCTGATATGAATATTTCATTTGTTCTCTTATCCTAAATGTTACATCATTCGTGTTTTGCTTCTCTAAAACTCTTCTGATTCTAATATATTTGGTTCGTTCTCTGCTTTAGTTGTGTGGGGTTCTCGTCTCTCTTGCACTTCCTCTACCTCTTCCAAGCTTTCTGTGTTGGTTTCATGTCTTAAAGCACTGCTTTTTATTCATTAAGTAGACAGAAATGGTTGGGCATGTTTATTTTGACCTAATGCATCTGTTCACCTAGCAGTATGTGGGTTCTCAGGAGATAGTCAGCTTGTTGTGGGGTTGCATCCTGGGCGGGGTCAGTAATTCGACCTTTTACCTCGATATAAGCCTAACTCGTATCAATACACTCTGGCTTCCTGTCCCTCGACATATTAAATTATTATTATTTTAACTGATTTGGGATTTTTGTAACCTATTCCAAGTGTCTAGAATTTATGTCCTAGTCTAGAATTATTTTAACTTCGGCTTTTGTAAATATTTTAACTTAATAGTCCATCTCTCTGGACTCCTTTCAAAACTTTCCTT